GATAAAAAACCTTTACAGCAAATCCAAAAGTTATATTAAAAAAGCTCTTGGCACAATCAAGTTCAAGATCAATTTTCATAAGCTATATAACTGAAATGATTAATTAGAAAACAATTCTGATCTAATTTAAGAAACTATTAAAAAATATTTTAAAAATATCTTATGATTAAGAAATTTCAATCTTGATGATTATCCAAATTGGGAAAAAACTTATATATCCAAAACAATAAATCAAGAAATATATGGAGAACTAATAAATTTTCTCAAACTTTCCATTGTCAAAGAAGCCATTTACAAACTTTTCAAATATAAAGCTTTAAGAAAGTCAGGAATCAGTTATGACATTATCAAGCTTATGAGAAAAAAAACAATTTTTCATATGATATCTATCTTTAATAATATTCTAAAATCTATCAATATACCTGAATAATGAAAACAAACTATTGTCATTTTCATTCCAAAAAAACTAACTTGAAGTTACAAGTTAAATAATATCAGACTTATTTTACTTATCAATTTCACAAGAAAAATATTTATAGGAATAATTAACAGAATATTGATCAAAATAATCAAGGAAAACAATATTTTATCTAAGTTCAACTGTGCTGGTCTCTTTGAACAGAGTATTATGGAACTATTAACAATCATTAACTTGGTTCTTCAAGCAGCAAATGTTAAAAATAAAGAATTTTGATTTGCCTCACTAGACATAACAAAGATATTCGACTCAGTACCTATATTAGCAATAAAAAAATTGTTGAAAAGAATTTGCTATCCAATTCAAATCACTAACCTACTTATCAACATTCTTAGCAACAGAGAAATCTTCTTCAACTACCTTTTGGTTCTATTGAATCATTTATTGTTAACAATAGAATAGAATAAGATAAAACCCTGTTACCTATTACCTGAATTATTTTTATAATCCTTTTGTTACTAAACTGACTCAATATCATCCAGTCCAAGAATATATTGCTTCCAATACTTTAGCTTATATAGATAACTTGACACTTATTGCTGAATTTAAGCAAAAAATGAAAAATCTTTTTGTAATAACCAACTAGTTCTTTGCAATCAATAGTATTACATACAATAAAAACAAAACCAAGATCATTAACAATATCAAAATCAAGTATAGCATTCAAGACATAATCAAATTCAATAATCATCCAATTCAAGTTCTTAAATTTTACGAAAGTGTAAAATATCTTGATATATTAATCTCTTTCAAAAAATTTTTTAGGACAAATAGGAAAGTCTTCATCAAGACATCAATTCAAATCATTAATAAGCTATCCAAACACAATTGGAAAAAAGAAATTAAGTAACAGATTAGTGACTGTATAATTATAGAAAAACTTGAATATTTTCTGTTTTTATTATTTCTTAACAAAACAACTTTTAATCAACTTCAAATCATAATTAACAAGTTTATCAAATCAGCTTACAAATTTTCCTTCAAATACTTCAACACAATACTAATTAGCCAAAGCAATCTCAATCTATCAGTACTAGAAAAATGATAAAAAACTGTATTAATAGAAAATCTGATATCCAAACTTTCAATTTTATCCATTAGAAAATATACTGTGCAAGATATCTGATCTATTCAGATCAAGAAGACAATATAGTTCGCAATTCAGAAAAGTTCAGTCAAGACAATTGAATCCTCTATGTAGCAAAAGCAGCTAAAGATTTCAAAATTCATATATGTTTAATAGAGTATTTATTTTGATATAACAATATAAAAAACTTAATTAGTTTTCTATTTGTTGGTTTACAACTCCAATAAAAAAAAACTGCAATTAATATAACAAATGCTCTTGATTTAAAATACACTAATCAATCATTAAAGTTTAACAGTACCATCAAACTTATATGACACCAACTTGCCTTATATACAGAAATAATTAAACTTGGTCCAAAGTCAAACTGGTTTAAAACTTTTATAAATAACAAGAATCTTATAGAATTGCATGGCCTAATTTCAAATTCCAAGGCAACATTTTAGTTTGTACATGGTTTGAATATAATAGTTAAGATCCATAAGAGATGATTACATGTTTAAGAAGAAATAATACTTAAAAGAAAACATTTCACAATAAATCTGAATAGCAAACTATTCAGATATTCAAGATGCCTAGCCAGTATACAATCCCATGGCTTTTGTTAGATAACATTTACAAGCTTAATAGCATCAATACTATAGATATCATTTAACTTATAATGTTATTAAATATTATTTGCTGAACATTATTGATAAAATCATTAACATATCATACAAAAGTGAACATGCTTTTCAAATAGTTAATATTAACAATAATTTTTTTTCTTGAGCAACACTTCAAGAAGTGGATTTTCACTAATACTACTATATTTAATTTTTTAAAAATTACCTAATTATTAATAAATACAAAGTAAAACTCACTAGTGCCTGTTTAGCTCCAGACAACATTCTACTAGCAATACTTGATATCATTTAATAGAGTCCTTAGTACAATATTATTAAAGTTAAAAAACAACAAAAAAATTTTTAACCAGTATTAATCCATCTTAGAAGAATAGTTAAAATTGACTTTTCTTCTTTAATTTAAAAAATAAACCAAATCGTGAAGCAAAAATCAATAGAAGTTATATATACCAAATCAAAATTCTGACTGTATATAGACTAAGGATAGGTTCCTAAATTAAAGGTAAAGATATAATTCAAATGTCCCTTACTATTAAAAAAGTTTTTTTTTAAATATAAGATCAAAACAAAACTACTTATAAAGGTTTTTTGCAATTTAGATCACTTGATCCAAGTATTTTTTAAATTATGTCTCTATTAAAGTAATAAATAAATAATTATGTCCCTTTTGAAGGAATATAATTGATTTGCAAAATTTTATATGTTAAATAGTTTAGGGACCCATCCTTAATACAGACAAGATAATTCAATGAAATAATTCTCTATCATATTTCTCAGAGAGTTTTTTGTTTAATAATACATTACATATCTAGACAGTAGTGTCAAATGATATAAAAAAAATTTTAATATTACTAGAAATTATATAATTTATAAAAGCTCTTCAATTATTCAAACTTTTGAATGGTATTACACTCCACATAACTTAAAGGTCATTAATCAATTTAATAAAAATATCAAAAAATTATATAATAATAGTTATAGTAACCTAATAACATTTAAAATCAAACTTTTTTTAAGAATCCTTTCAACTCACCAAATATTTCATTAATATCATCTTGATTAAAATTTAAATAGGTATTGTTCAAAATATAAATTCCATATCAAGAACATTCAATATATCTTCAAGTGCCCTGAAGTCTTAGAAAAGACCAACCAGATCATAAATAATATTAATTAAATCCTTTATCCAGATAACAACCTCAGACCAATTTCATGTATATGGCAAGTAGTAGAACTGTCATATAATATGACTAATAAAATCTTCTATAGCAGATACTTCCAATTGAATCGAGGCATCAACAGAATCTTTAACTAAATTGTATAACTTAATTTGAAAATCATAATATAATACTGTAAACACTTCATTTCTTATTAGTATCAAATGAAATCCAAGTGAACCACTGAGTACTATCAATCCAATCAGATCAGAAAAGAACTATATTGCTTCTATAAGAAGTCCATATCCCAATGTCACTCAAAATGAAATTATCATTGATTTACCTATAATAGTTACTAACTTCTTTATTCAATATAATTATAATTTTTTCAAATATATTCAAAATCTAATATCATCTTTTCCAAGTATTATTTCTCTTAATACTAAGTAGATATTCATAGCTGCTCAGTACCATATGACAAGATATATTGTTTTAAAATTTCTTTTCAATATTAGTTGTATGGTTACTGTAAGCAAGTTAACATTTAACTCATTGTACCAACATATAAGAGATATTGTTTCTTTCATAATGTATACCTTGTCATATACAAACAAAATAAAGAAATGATATTTACCTACAAAAAAAAAAATTATTAATTTTTATATTATTGATTCTTAAATCATTGATTTGTGCATTATAATAATCTTTTAAATTATTTATTTTAATACTGTATTATAATTATTTAACTTATTAAGTTCCAATATTATTAAAATTATTTAAACTTTTAATTTAATCATCATTATAAATAGCATTTAAGTATTCTAGATTTCTTTCTAAATATATAACCTCTTGTACATATTTAAGTAAAATATCATACAGTAGATTTGTAAATTAATAGAAATATAAAAAATAAAAATATCTAATTATGAATTTATTTTGCAAAAGATATATTTTCAAGTGAATCATCTTTGCTAACTTTAAAACATGTATTTATATATTTTTTAATTATTCTTTATTTTAATTATTTGTATTTTATTGTTTGCTAAGTATAAATTTAGTTTTATTAAATGCCAAATCGGAAACTTAAACTTTATTTCTAAATATTAAACTCCAGTTTCTTTTATTAAATCCGATCGCTTAAACAAAATAATAGTATTGAAATTCACTAAATTCACCTGCACGAATGCCATAGGGAGAACGCCTCTCGTCTTTTTTATTCCGGGAAAAATCTCTGCTGTAACGCGTGATATAGTCCAAGATAACACGTCAAGCATTCTTATTGTTCGAGAACGCAGTATGGCAAACAAGCATTTTTGCTTTTTTTACTAGAACAGAAGTGTCCTACGCTTACTTGCTCCTTGCATAATATAGTTATTATCGGATTACATTCAATTGTCCGAAGCGTATGATCCATATGATCACGAAAAACATAATATTGAATTGACCCGCATAAACACATTATTTCGATTCCAGCTTCATATAGATTAAGTAGTTTCTTGTCCTGGGTAACGTTGAGAGCAACTCAAACATTTCTTTTTCTTGATGGTCCCTCCTATATAATAAATAAAGCACGGTTAATATTTTTATCTAATTTGTACTACTATATACAGTAGAGCATACCTCTTCATCGGAAAAATATGTACTATATTATATTATCGTAGAGGTGACGGTGATGATAGTAGCTGTAGATAAGGTGATATTGGTAGCGGTGATTGTGGGAGAGATGACAAAGGTAGTGGTGATCGTGAAGGCGAGGATAAGTATGTTGAGCGCGATGATAGTGTTTGTGACACCTATAAATGAACATAAGTAAATAGTTATATACTGCAATCCTTACTAATATTTAATATTTTATTTATACTTACGGGTTTATTTTTACGCTTCCTCGAAGATGCTTCACGATTATAACGTATACATTCTATATCCCGAAGATCATTCTCTCTTGTCCGGAATGGTATCGCCCCCTTCGTTCTTGCAAATTTCGAACCTGGGCTCCTCTGAATCACCTAAGGTATCCAAAGAATCATCCACAGGAGAACCATCCACATTAGCAGAATAATATAAATCTACATCATCGTTACTAGTCATCATCGTGATCACTGTTATTAATGTCATCATTATCATCATTGCTATTGCCATTATTGTAATTATTATTGCCGTTGTCACCGTTATCTGCATCTTCTGATATTATTTCAACGAGTTCGTTTGTATTGTATTGTTGATTTTTGATAATCGCTCTTTTCTAATTCATAACCGATGTTGTCTTTTTTTCCAAGTTCAGAGTAATGATTAAGAATCTATTAAGGCTGATATATAATTGCGAAATATGTGATTTTACTTACTGTTTTGTATTCTGAGATTATACTATCCCAGTAATCCTCAATCTTTCGCACGGCGCCTCCGTTCTGATCAACCTGCAATAAGAAATGCATTTATTTAGTGATAAGAGAATGTCAAATTCAAATGATTTTGGGCGTATAGAGAATTCAGATAACAAATGGCAAAAAAAAAAAAAAACGCACCCTTTTTCCCAAGGTAGTATCAAATTTAGTTATTTCATGTATAAAACGGCCTGCCCAAAGATTATCAAGATCCTTATCACAGGAATCTGCCGGAGTAGTGGCAACAATAGCGTCTCGACGAAGCCCCAGAAAGACTTATTTTTATGTCGCGTCAAATACGACATAAGTTCTATGTTACCGGGATATTTTTTGTTCAGAAGACGCGTTGATATAAAAAACTTGGTATAAAGATAGATAGAAGGTTTTGTTAAGGTGCAAGAAAAAATGCAAGAATCGTAAACACGTAGTTTCCTCCCTATATAACCATCAGGGGCTACACAGAATGTCATGTGATAATTTATCGAATTGGTGATACGATTGGCTGTTATCTAAGCTATATGATTAATATTATTATTGAAAGAGGCGATCGGCGAGTCTGTCGCTAGCAATTGACAGATTTCGCGTAAAGGATAGCTAAGAAGAAGATAAGTGATAATAAGGAAGACGAGGCGTTTAATGACCGAGTAGTTTATTTTCTTAATGTTTTTAGAGATTGCTTATGTTTTTCTTTATTCAATGCTAATTATTTAATCATTTTAATAGAAGAAAATAGAAAGTTGAAGCTTTTAGAAACATCTGTATATTTCAAATGCTATTTACATCATCTTTGCTAATTACATCATTCTTACACTCTTTATCATCGATTTTAAATTCGGTTTCTCTTCGCGATTCCTAGGGGGAGGCCGATCTCCGGTCACGTGACATGATCCCTCTTACACTATAAATGAGTATAAGTATGAATATAAATGTAAATATTTGAACATGCATAGGAATAGTGGTTTCTTTATTAGTTGTATTAGAATAAATTTTTATTTCAATAAAAAAAACTTAATATAGATAGTATTAGATGATTTTTTTTTTTATTAATATTATTTTATTTTAAACAAACAATAATAAATACCAATATAAAAATAAGCAAAGTTGGATTAAAAAAATCAAAGGTAAAAAAAAAACATATATCTATTTATAACAAGTGAAATTATTTGAATAAAAAATTTTGTTAAAAGAATTATAATATTATTTTATAGGAAAAAAATTATTTGATTTAAAAAAATCACAATTTAAGTTTTTTATTTTACAGTATTGAATTTTAATAAATAGTGAAAATGTTGACTATATTATATCTTAATTTTAAAATTAGGTTGTATAGAAAAAAAAAATTTAATTCAATTGTTTATATTTAAATATATACATATATTATTGATCATATTATATAAAAGTTTAATTGCTTATTAAATATTGAATATAAAATTTTAATTATTGTTAAAATAAAAAATATAATTATATTGTATTTATTATTTAAATAGGTTTTGTTTTACAATAAAATATTATATTTAAAAAAATAAATAATATTTTAAGTTTAAAAATTATATTTGAAATAAAAATAAATCAGAATATTATTTAAAGTAAAATTGATAAAAAATAATTTAAAGTAAAAAATAATTTCAGAAAAAAAAATCTTATTTTAAAGACTATTATATTAGGTTATTATATTTATTCTTGGAATGATTTTCTGATAAATTTATTAGTTAGATTGATAATTTTAAGATCATAAATACAAAGATTTTATTAATATTTTTAAAAAATTTATTTATGGGTTAAAAGAAAATTTGTGGTTATACTAGATTCTACAAAAACATTTATCTGAATAAAAAAAATTTTTTATGATAAAATAAAACTCAAAATCACTGGAATATTATATCATATTTCATATTAATAAAAAAAACCCAAAATATTTATATAACCAAATTTATATAATTTGTTTCACACGAATTGAAAAAATCATACCGTATACAATATATATAATATATTAAAGATGTAAATGTTTGATGGTATTTTTAATAGCCAAATGCGTCTATTATAATAATGGAAAATTTTAATTAACAAATACACATCAACTTGATCACTTGTAATCAAGTAAATTAATCTTTAATCGTGAAGCATATGGGTGCCTACGCGTTTGAAAACCCCAAGGGAGGGATAGAAAATAGATATAAAATAATACCTCAGTTACATGAGATGATTAGGTCTTTGTTCCCTCAAAAAATCCAAAAAAAAAAAAAAACATTTTGATGAATGACGCTATTCTCAAAGTTGCTAGAGACCTATTGCTCGGCATCAACCATATTTACGTCGTTACTGTTATCTTCAATCTCGTCATGAAGGAAATGCAGCAGCCTCCAGAAGAAAAGATCTAATTTTTCTTTTTTGAAAATTATCTCTTCACTTAGATAATCTGGCAAAATGTTTATCAGGCAGGCGTCTCTCTCAGGATCGATAGAAGGCTCATAAATATAGTCGTCATCCTTTATAGAAAGTTTAAATACCAGAGCTAAATTTTTTAAAAAATAATGATAGGCAATAAATGCGATTAAATAAACCGTTTGGTAATAATATAAGCAAATAGTATTGGAAAACTTACACCCGTTTCTCCCGCTGTGAATGCACGTAAAACTACTTTCGTTTTGTGAAACCAACTTTACGTTTTGAATAAGAAGATTCGACATCTCTTGATATAAATTTATTTGCGCCTGCATTTCCATTTGCTTAATATCTAATTGTCCATTAGAAATCTTGCCGGATCTGGCTTTAAGTTTTTTGCTATTTTCGCGCTCTTGATTGAGTTCAAGTTCAAGCTTCCTTACTTTAAAATGAAGCATGTGAGTTATGATCCATAAATATTTTTTGAAAATGCATTCCCCATACTTTGTTTTTTAAAGTTCGCGATCTCCTGTCCATCCGTGTTCTTTGAATTTTCGTTTAGTAGAGTTCCTTGCTTCAGTTGTGCCTCAAGTGCCTTAACTTTGAAAGATCATGAATATTAAGGCAAACAAACTATTGGTCTACCCATCGATCGATCCATTCATTCATTCATCAATTCACTACTCTACCTTGACCACGTAATTGTGTCATTTCTAACACAGATTTTTCTCTCTCTTTTTGGAGAATACGCACTAAAGTTTTTGAAGACAAAATGAAAATTTGCATTTACAAGATCCCAACAGTTTAGACATTCAATTTACCCTCTTCTCTTAGTTTCATTGCTTCTGATTCACCATCGCCGCCATTCATCGTGTTCCCTTCTTTAGAATATTTACTGCACTTTTCTTTCTCGCGGTTAAGCTGAACCTTCAAGTGAGCCAACATCGTTTCGTAACCTGAATAGAAAGGCTGTTAAGAAGGATTATGAAACGAGAATGGCGTTCCTAAAAACCTTAAATATTTTTTACTTTGAACTCGTTTTTCGGCATTAGCTTGATATTCCTTAAATATTTGATCACGTTTCTCATTTTCACGGTTGCTCGCTGATTCAGTTTCCCGATGTTTCGCTTTAATTTCTTCCAGAAGTTTGCTTGCCTAAACATCATCGCAGAAACAAGGTTTAAGTATTCCGGTAGGAAACAAGTTTTTTGTGTGATGCGTATACCTCTTCAAGTGTTATTCTAAGATTTAAACCGGGTTCGTCATCTTGTGTTTGCTTGGCTCTTTTTTCTTTGCAAGTAAGCTTTGGAAATTCAATCTCCTCCACTATTACTTGAGACTCAACATCTTCGGTGCCCTTTTTTGATTGACTTTTTTGACTGGTGACAGTTCTTTTCTTTCGGGGTGGCATGACAATCAGTAAAAGGTTTACAATAATGTATAAAGTGTAAATATATAATCGAAAGGTAGAAAACACGTATTACGTAATATTCATGTACTGTAAATCATTTTATATATTTGCCGATACCATTACATAAGCGTCATCTCTTGATAATTAATTTTAACGACAAATGTGTATTAGAAATAGCTCGAACATTAATCACATATAATGTGAACCTATACGTATTTTTCATGCAAGTTTTAATAACAATTATCTTTATGCATGAAATTTACAGTATTTCGTATAACTTTATTTACACCTTTTTTGAATCTAATCGTTGCATCGCGTCAAAACTTACAATAATTAAAGTATACAGTATATACAACTATGGTTATCGACGAATACTCAAGCACCCACGATAGCCTCACATGTCCTGGAATTTTCAAATTTTATTTTAAACCAATATTTTGCCAGTTCCTTATTTTTGACAGTTCCTATACCCTTGGTATAGAAATCTTCGACAGTATCTCTGGCATAGTCATTGCCGCCTTTGGCAGCATCCAGGTACCATTTAAATGCTTTCTCTAGATCTCTGGCGGTACCAAATCCATGTTGATAACAAAATCCAACATTACGTTGGGCATCGGGATTTTTCCCGTTGGCAGATTTCAAGTACCACTCAAAGGCTTTCTCGTAATCTGAGGGAATGCCAATTCCATAATAATAGCACTCCCCAAGATTATTTTCACCTATATGGTTACCGCCCTTAGCTGATTTCAGATAATATTCGAATGCTTTCCTTTCATCTCGGGTCATATAAAAATCTCCGGTTTTATTCTGACCTTTGCAGAGTGTTACAAATCGTTAGTTGAAAAGCTATAAATTAGTCAATTAAAATGCTTGATTTTTGCCAACTAAGAACACTACCTTCGCATTTCCCATTATCTGCGGCTTTCTGGTACCATTGCAAGGCGAGATCACTATCTTTTGGGGTTCCAATTCCATGCTCATAAAGAACCCCAAGTGTTATAGCATTATGCTGAGTTTCTCGGCAACTGATAAATAGATTAAAAAGCTGCGTGAAGGTTAGGCTATTAGATTCACAAAATTGGCTAATGTCAATCAGCTTCGATCCGCCACCGTTTAATTGATCGATAACAATCTGGTTAAAAATTTTTTTTAATTTACATTCATTTTCCAATGAATGTAAATTAAAACTAGTTCCTGGTTTATATCCATTATGTATGGATATGTAATCCAGTGTTGTGTAGGTGTGGTGACTATGGTGACTATTACGATATCTGGTACGCAGAGGTACCTGTAGGCTCTTATCAGATTGGGCCTCTATAGCCCCCATAGGTGTAATTTTATCCAGAAGTTCCTTCACATCCTCAGCGTCTGGCCTCTTATTGGGATTTTCATCCCAACAAGCTAAATAAAAAAAAAATAATGATAAATAAAATTTGAATAATGTTATTATCATTAATGAACACTGATGATTTCTATAAGCCGACCTTCGTAAATATCAATATATTCCCGAGGAGTTCCTTCGATTCTTTTCTCTCTAAGACCTCCCAATATTTGGAAGATCAACGTTATGTCATAGTACTCTGAATTAAATGGCGGATGGCTGCTTGTGATCTCCCAAAGTAGATAGCTTAGAGAGAAGATATCGGACTTTTTTGTTTTGGGAGGATAAGACCCCCTATCTGTCTTTTTGAAGCACCTCGGATCGATATACGGTATTATGCCTAGAGGTGCATTGGCAGTTTCAGTGTTTGAGGCATCTCTTAATTTCTTGCTGAGTCCAAAATCGGCAAGTTTTATGTTGCCACTGCAGATGAGAATATTTCCCGGGTGCTAAAAACATAAATAATAAATACGAAAGTTCTATAAAACAAGATGCGTACAACTAATTAATTTACCAAGTCCCTATGAATAATATCCTTTCGATGTAAGTACACAATGGCGCTAGTGAGTTGTTTAGCCATGTGTAGTTTATTATCCCAATTTAGGGATCCGTGATTTTTTTTGAGGTATTGCCGAAAGGTCCCATCGGCGTATTCGATAACGAGAATATATACAGGCTTCCGTGGATCTGATTTATTTTAAAACATTATTGGTTTTCTCGCCTACGTAAAAAAGTTTCTTTTGAAATATGCTCTACCTTTTTTGGCGATCCCATAGAAGCGCAATATATTCTCATTCAAGTTAACGTCCTTATGCAATCGCAACTACATGAAGGACAATGTAAGGTTGGGTCAATGAGGGTCCATTTAGTAACAAACAACTATGTAATGAATATAATACCTCGTTAAGCAATACGTCCGCCTCTTGCCGATTGCGGGGCCTCAATTTCTTCAGGGCTATAATCCGGTTCCCATCGTGAGCTTTATAGACCGTACCGAAGGCCCCGGAACCAATTAACTCCAAAGCTTTGAATTTTTTAAACCCAAATTGGGTTATGCCCAATTTTTCGATGGAGTTGTTTAATTCGTTTATGTAATCCTTTGTTTTGGTCTTATCCAGAAATTTTTTTGTTATTAGTCGTCCTTTGACGACTAACAAACCAAAAACAAGTGCTCCAGAAAGGGAAAATACTGCCGTTTTTATATGATTTGGTTGAATCTGGAAACGCATTTTTTAATTAAATAGGAATTATATGATATTTTAATTAATAGGAATTATGATTTTTTTTAATTAATAGGAAATCAAATGATTTAATTAACAGGAATTATATGAACGAAACTTCTCGAAATCAAAGGGATTTTAATAACGATATTATCTTCAACCTTCGAGCCTATTTATGTAAATCGGTTTAATTAAATGTGTTGTTTTTTTGTTTGTATTACAAATAAGACAACGGATTAATTGTATCAACCTATTTTTATTTTGGTAAATCATATCCATTTTTCTTTCATGCCAACATTGTAAAATTGCCACGAACATGCTTATTTTTACACATTGTTGTAACGCGTATGCTTTGCAACAAATAAATTAAATTAAAAAACAACAACCTATTGCTATTTATTGAATTCACATATCCATATACGTAAAGACGTAGTTTGATATCTTAAAAAGAAGTTTCTTCTATCACAAGAAATATTTTTTTTGTTCTTGATCCCATCCCTTAAATTCCGCACAGAAATCGTAAGGTGGTACTGTTTTAAATTCAATATGTTTGAACTTTATAGATATCCATTTTTGGTTTAAGACATAAGAAAATAAGGTAAATTTCTTTATCAACAATGGACTAGCGGGCCGGGGCATGGTGCGGCAACGCCTGATGCGTCAATTCAAACATTAGTTGTAGGTTGTATGACAAGACATTAGATTAATAATACGCGTTTTGGGTGAACTAAAGAGAAAGAAAAGTCGTTAAAAAGTGATACACAGTATAGTGTAAGAGTAGGATTGGATTTAAGATAACACACTGTACTTGTATAACATTATCATTTGGGGAATAGAAGTCTGTAGGGCCATTAAGGGATCTGTAATAGAGATTGGAAAGCGAAAGTAAAAGAAGTGAATTTGTTTTTAAAAGTTTCTGCCAAGTCAAAATGCATGCCTCAAGTTAAAGCCTTCTTACCCTATCATATGTCATGCAAGAATTGAGTTGAATTAGTGACAAACTTGTCCGTAATATTATATTTAAAAAAGATTAAAATGGTACTTTGTTTCAATAATTACCATTGCTTGTTTCGCTTTTTTATATAAAATAAAAAAAAAAATTCGAAATATTTGATTTTTATTTTATTATCATTGTAATTATTATGACCAAGTCAAAATCAAATTAATCGTTATTTTATACGATACACATTATTTTGAAAAGCACATGATCATCCTTTCAAAGTTTTAATTTTTTAAAAAAAAAAGTTCCAATCTATAAATTATAATGCGCACGCCTATCGTTTTTAAGTTTTTTTTTTAAAAAAAAATAGTTATAATATATTCTGCAAAATTTCAGTATCCTATATTACAATCATTTTATTCCTGTTTATATTAATAAATACAATAAGATTAATATATTTAATTTATCACACTATTATTTATTTTATTTATTATAATTATAATTATAATTGTTATTATTATGCAATAATTTTCTTTTTATAAAATACTGTATATGTTTTTTGTTAAATCTAAAATTTTGATTGTTATTTTTTAAATCGTTACTGTAAATATGGTTTCAATATAATAATCAAATATTGATTATTTACAATATATGATTTTTCATAATTTATATATTTGTTTAAAATTTTAAAATTTAATATGTTTTGGTTTCAACTTGAACTATCCATAGAATGTTTAATAATTTTGTTAAGCTGGTATTCAGTTTACAAGTAAGTAAATTCTTAATAAATCTTGAAATAAGTTTGTTTTGATTCAAATGATATATAATTGCAATTAAAGAATAACAATAAATTATTTAATAAATTATTTTAATTTTGTTTTGTTTGTTTTTACAACAATATTATTTTTTGATTTTTTTATTTAATAAGATTTTGTTGATCCAGATTATGTAATTTTCTTTTAGTAATAACAAGAACTATAATTATAATTTTTTAAAAAATTTTTATATTATTATATATATTTTTTTGTTTGATCTTATATAATAATTTAATTATATTTCAATTTAACAAAATTTTATTTTTACATTTAAAACCTAATTTGTATATAAGTAATTATTTTTAAAAGTGAACCAAAAATTTTCAGAATATAAATTTATTATCACATAATTTAAATTTATATATCATTTAATTTATTAACTTATATAAATTTTAAAAATTTATTTATTTATTTATTTATTATTATTATTTTATTATTTGGATATTTATTTTTTGAAAAATAATATATATATTATGTAATTACATGATTTTATAATAATTATAAAGCAAAAAACATAATTAAAAATCAAATAATTAGTTAAATAAATAAAAATAAATTGATTAATAAATATATAAAAATAATATGTAAATAATAATATAAAAAAAAACTTTTATAAAAAAATTAATTGAATTTAAAATCATAAATAGTTATTTTTTATATTTTGAATTTTATCCTATATTATTATATATATGCTTGAAATTAATTTTAAATTTTAAATTTGACTTTTTTAATAATTAATGATTATAATTAAAAAAATTTTTATGAGTTAATAATTTAAAATTCCAAACTTTTATATTACAATATTTTTATTTAATTTAATTTAATATTAATAAAACCATTAATAATTCAAATAATAATATTTAAATAATTAATAATTAAAATTATTTTTATTTTTAAATTATAAACTTTCTAATAATATAAATTTTGTTAAGTTTTATTAAATATTAAAAAAATATAAAATTAATTTTAAGCATATATATATATTAAAATTTTATTAAAATAATAAAATTAACTATGGTTTCTATTTCAATAAGTAATATTGATTATTTTTAAAATATTATTATTATTACTTTTATCTTTTAAATAATACATATTTTTTTTAATATGTTTTTTATAATATTAATTTTAAAAAAAATTTTTTATAATCTATATTAATATATATTAAAAGTAAAAACATGTAATTTTTTATTGATTTTTATAAATAATAAATAAAAATAAAAATTATTTATCATTAATTTATAAATATTTTTTTAAAACTTTGTTCTGGAATAAATATTAAAAGAAAAATTATTATAAAATTATAATTTGATTTTAAAATAAATAATTGATTTTTTAATTACAGTATATAAATATTTTATATTGTTTTATCTTTAAAAATTTTTTAATATTATATAAAAATAACCATTAACAATATTTTTTTTATAAATAAATAATAATTAATTAAAAAAAATATATTAATTTAATAAAACAAAAATATAATTTATAATTAAATCAAAAACAAATTTTATTAAATTGTAAAATGAAAATATTAGTAAAAAAAATTTTAATATAATTAAGTACTGTCGCGGGTCAGGGGTCTATCAGCAGTAACGGCGAAATCCTAGACTTCGCGACACTTCGACAGGGGTATCTGT